CCACATCTTACTCGTTTCGTGCGCTTTTCAGGTCTTCAGTTCCACAATTCCGAGTTAGTTCGCACTTTCCCCTAGTGCAGCGGGTTGCCATTGTTAGTTCGCACTTGTCGACACCCTTCGCACTTGTCGATAAACCACATCTTACTCGTTTCGAGGGCATCTAGTTGGATCGCAATCTTTCCGAACAATTATCGTCTTCCCTCCGAACTTCTGTCTTTCCTATCCTTCACCCGATTGTTGTGACTTCGTGTGCATTTCGAACACCCCTCTCTTACGTTCTTTTTGTCCACCATTTCATCAAGTCCGAGTTAGCTCGCACTTCGCTTCTGTAGTGGTCTAGGGTTGGGCGTATTAGTCATCCGAGTTGATCTGAGGTTGGGCGTGCTAGTCAACGGGTGGGACTACAATGGCGTCCGCAAAGAACACATCCACAAGCGCTGGACCATCTGCCCCCGGGGAGGGACGACCTGTACAACAACCTACTCCTCAGTATGTGCACACAAAGGGAGCACCATGGTTTTTGGACTTCGTTGTTCAGGGGGACCTTTTTGGGCCAGCTGTTTTCATGCGACCCACTTGCGTTACAGACGCTGGGGGAGCGGTCAACGTTCTTCCTCTCGGTACCGTCGTCTCGTGCGCGAAGATTCCTGGAGGTTTGCTCAAGCTGCACACTAACGGCGTGTACGACGAGTGCAGACTGCCTATCAGAGGTGTTAAAGGTGTGCTGGTGACCATCAAGAGTTTCGCGGGGTACGGCTCGAACATGCCGTTGTGCTCTCACTTCAAAGGCCTTTACGATGGCGGCAGCAAGCGTCTTCCATCGCCAGAGCAATATCTCGATCTCGCGGTGATGGTGCCGAAAGAACGTCCGGTTCTTCCGCCAGAGCATGTTTTCCGGCTTCTGCCACCCCGTGAGGGGTCGTCCGACTTGGCTCAAGAAACTCCAGGTACGAAAGTGGGGCGCGGGAGTCCGATTCAAGACGCTGGGGGTCGGGTCAAGGGACGCAGCGTTCACACGCAGGTCGGCCCGGATGCTCCTAGGAACACGTCCGACTTGCATTCTCAGGGTACAGGGACTTAACGGGTCGGTACTCCGAAACTTATCAAGTTCCGCTGCGGCGCCGACACGTATTCGCTTCGAGATGAGACGAGAAGAGATTCAAGCAGATCGGGGCTGAATGTTGGAGGGAATGAGGCTGAAGGGATGGGCGCTGTCCACGAAAGCTGTGGCGGGGAGCAGACTCCTTCGGAGAAGAAGAGCGAGCGACAGAGGATGGTGCGAGAGGAGGTGGCTGAAGGAACCCTCCGCATGAAGAGGATGAGAGGAAAACCGGAGGCGTTGATGGGCGGGGATGGAGGTGGCGACGGAGAACGTGCCTCGGGAAAGAAGCCGACGAACGAAGAGGGTGGGAAGGCAAGTAAGAAAGCGAGGAGGCCAGGCGGTTTGACCATCCGCGAAGGACAAGTCGCGGGTGGAGGAGATTCGGTTGATCCAGGCGCTGCGGCTGCAAGAGAACCTTAAATCGAAACAGAAAGTGGCAGCTGAAGAAGGCGATGGCTAGAAGAAACCTCAAAGGCGGAAGACTGCTGAGGCGGCGAGCGGTGGCGAAGGGCCTGTCGGTCAGGAGTGCGACGAAGCGGCTGCGTTCTGGCTCGAATACGAGCGGAACGATGTTGGTGAAATCGTGGAGAAGGAGCTCCCTGTCCAACTGCTCATCGACCCCAGGAAGGTCTGCGACATCCCACCTTGGGAAAGATATTACAACCACCGCAGTCTAAGTCGCGAAACTGTGGACGACATCAAGGATGCGATGCTGAGTCACTTCCGCGAGAAGAAGATCTGGACGAAAAACCCTCTCGTTTTGGCACCCATCTACAAGCCGGTGTCGCGTAGGCCGGAGCAAGCAGACAGGGTTCACAAAGATGTCTTCAGGCCAGAGGACAAGGACAAGTACTACTATTACCCTGTTAACGGACAACACACCATGGCTGCTGTGAAGGAGTTGGAGGGTGAGCAAATATTCGATTTGTGGAAGATGCACTCGTGGCCAGCGAGAGTAAGGTGGTTCTCCGACCGAGATTTCGCGGGGTATAGGCAGGTCAGTCTCAACGAAAACACGAGACACAAGATGTCTAAGCAGCGGCCGCAGAAGACCGCGTTCTTGGACATGAGGGAGGCATGGGAGAACGAAAGAAGGCCAATGGCCATTCAAGGGAACCCTTCTGGCAAGGAGGCCGAAAAACAAAAGTTCTTCGATTTCCAAAAGCTGGTTTTGGGAAAGAGTTCGAACGGAGCTCACTGGACGTTGGCACAAAAAGATTCGTCGCTCGCCGACAAGGACTATGTCGCTGCAGTTGGCAATGCATTGAGGCAGTGGATGCCGCTCGTGACGGCCGTTGACGACGTTTTCCGCAAAGCCATGGAATTCTACGCGAAATGGGCGGAGGAGAAGTTGTTGGGCGGCGACGACAAGACACCATAGTCGAGGCCGGGCAAATACATGCCAGACAAATCTCCGGGTCTGCAAGCAATTCCGGAAATGGGCTCGAAAGGGACGGCTGGTAAAACGAAGATGGGGTGGCTGGTCCGGGTCCCGCCGCCTCCGACCAAAAAGAAAACGCAAGCGGACGACAAGTTTTTCGTGGTCGTGAAGGAGCCAGACATGTTCTGTTGGCAATGTCTCGCAGACATGACCGATGTCGAGAAACTGTCGATCCTTGACGACATTCTCGCGCTAAGGGGAGTGTTCGTGCAATCCGCGGGCGACCATCTGAAGCGTCAGCATAAACCAGGAATTAAAGACATGGTCGCGACGACGAAAGTGGACCGTGTGATGCTCCGTATGTTCCACTACATCTTGTTCCTTGAAACGGAGGCGGACGAACGTGTTTGGCGCTACGGGAGCCATTTTTTCCGCACCGAGGGGCGGCTTCTGGAGGAGTTCGGGCCGCAGGGCGTCACGAAACAGGTGTGGGTCGAAATGCGAAAGCATTTCCAGGGTGTGGTGGAGTACGTGAACACTTGCAAACGTACTCTTCCGCACGAGGAGTCCCTCGACAACGCGAAGAAATTGTACGAGGACGACAGGTTCCCTAAATCTTTCGAAAAGTCTGTCCGTTCCATCTTGCGACGGACGGAAGAAGTTCGAGACACGATCAGGGTCAGTGGGGATGTGAGGCACATCAAATGGCCCGACCTCAACCGGGTGACCAGCCTTATTCCTTTCGCTTTTCCGCCTTCCCAAGCTCACAGTCATGTCACTGCGATCCATGAGGTTGTGCGACATTACATGTGCAACCTGTACGTCCTCGATTTGTGTGATCCCACACTCCTCACAGACTGGCGAGAAGACGATTTCGCCAACTTGCAAGGCCTTCTACAAACACTTTCGCCAACGCACTGGGCACTTGTGATTTTTTTTCCCTCTCGTTGGGAGCTCAGTTTCTGGAAAGGCATGGCCAGGCTTAGCGTCCACCACGTCAGGACAAGGAAGTGGGTACGTAATGCACAAAAGCAGGCCACTGTCCGGGAAGGCAATATGCTAGTTGAGGAGTGTGACCGCCTGTACGTGATTTTTAATGGCGAGAAGCTGGAAGACAACACATTCGCAGTCTACCCGACCAGTAGCCCGACAAAGGCTTCCCTTGCTCATGGTCCAAGTCCGACCAAACATACGGTGGCGGGCCGCTCGAAAGCTGTCTGTTCGTCGGACCCATCAGGACAGGCTGTGGCGTGTTTCAACGTGGCGGAAGAGGAAAGGTTCATTCGTAGCATGTGGGAGGACGACGGCGTGACAAGTTCTCAAGGACCTGCTTACGGGGAGATGGAGCGGAACCCGTCCCATCTAGTTGGTCTACTCGAAAACTTTTGCAAAGCTGGTCAAACTGTTTTTTTCTTTGAGAAGGCGCATACGTCTGTCGTGTGGGAACTCCTGCGCACCGGTCGGAACGTCGTCGCGTTGGAGAAGGAGACGAAGATGATCGATTACCTTCACGAGTTCGTGAAGGCACGCGTTGCAGACACTCGCAATGCTTGCGAGTTTGTCCAGACCACCGGCGAACGAAACTGGGATCCCAAACGTGACATGTATTGGAAATTGCCGGGGAACAAAAGGACGGACGTTTGGGACTTCCTTTTCGGACCCGGACCGCCTGGTCAGACCGACCTCGAATACAGTCGACGGAGAAACCTGGTGTTCGCTGTGCTCAATGGGTACCACGGTGCACCCAGCACTTCTTGAGAAGGCTGGAGCACGTTTACTTCACGCTGGCCGAACCGCTCACTCTCGAAAACTACAAGTCACAGTTTGACGAGGACGACCCTTTCGACGTTGAAGACATGGAGGAGTTGAGCGACTCTGAAACCTTCGATTTCGAGTCCATGCCACTTCCTCGGGTGGTTGGACAGGTTGGTGATGAAGAGGAAGGTGGCCCTCGGAGATATAGCACGTCCCCTGCCGGTTTGAAGCGTGTGTTTCGGGGCGAACCAGTCGACGACCAATCGTCTGATGACGGGGAGGAAGAGAGAAACTATGATCACGAACCTCGTGACAGGCTCCCTGTGGACCATGACACCTGGCAGAACGACAGACTCTACTTCTTTGGCAAGCATCACTGGTTCACGGCGGAGGATGTCTGGGGACACAACGTCGTCTGGCACCCGAGGATATTCCAACCTGTTGTGAGGAATGGAATATGGGTCATGGCAATAAAGGAGGCCGATGGCAAGTGGAGTGGACTGAAGAGACTGGGAGCGGGTACATTTAAGAGAAAGGCAGGAACTGCTCTGGTGGAGCATTTGAGTCTCATGAGCCCCGAGAGGAACGATCAGGACGTCGATGCGTATGCAAAACAAAAGCTACATGAGTTGTACGCCAACAACATGTTGGAGTTTCGAGCGCCTTTCTACGCACTCGAAACGACACCGTCTCATGGCATTGACTGGCGCATGCCACAACCTCCGCCGGCCGGTCAGCATCCGGGAGGGGGTGGTGGAGGAGACGAAGGAGACGGAGGAGGTGGCGGAGGAGACGGCTCACAGTTTGCCGGAAAGGGGACGGGCGAGACATCGTCGGTTGAGAAGGCGTCGGGCGGAAAGGGGTTGGGCAGAAAGGGGTCGGGCGAAAAGGGGTCGGGCGGAAAGGGGTCGGGCGAAAAGGGGTCGGGCGGAAAGGGGTCGGGCGGAAAGCGTAGAACGTCCAGGAGTCCCGAGTATATGGAAACTGACCCCCACTGCGTAGGGAGTCGAGATTCCGACATGCGAGACGAGGCCACCCTAACGTCTGATCAAGTGCGAGTAGATTCGCACTTGTTTGCGAGGAGTTTGTTTCCCGTTGCCCAGGAGAGTCCATCCCGCCGTGCGCAGCAGAGATCTCCTGTGCTCAACACCTTGTTCCTGAAAGAGGGCGCGTCTTCGTTTTGCCTGGAGGGCGGGATGCCTGCATTGCGAAGGAGCGAAGGTGCGACCTCCGGTTCCCTCGGCTCGGGCGACCGCCAGAAACTCCGAATACATTCGGATTTGTTGCCGTCGCCCTACGCCATAAGTGCTCCTCACGCAACAGTTCCGCGGGGCCAAGAAAATGTGACGTCCTGGCCCCCGCATCTTCAGTTGGACACAGGGTTACCTTGCTCGCCTCCTTTCTCATGTGTTGAGACTCGAGACTGGCGCCCTCGCGACGTGTTGGAGGGGCCCGTTCCAGGAGTGTTGGAGACCGGGGGTAGCGAGAACGAACGTCACACTCCTGGGGAAGACGAGCGCTGTCCGGGAACGCGTGCTGTATATCGGGAAGAGGAGACCCAACGTTGGCAGTCTCGCAAAGTGTTGGAGACCGGGGGTAGCGAGTGTGAACGTCATGCTTCGGAGGGTGCATCCCTGGACACTGGCAACGAGAGTGCAGGAGCTCCGGGGGAAACGCATGTTGTACAGGGGGGAGAGGAGACTCGACACGGGCCGTCTCGTGAAGACGTGAAGTGGCTCCACGCACGAGCGCTGGTGATCGGGACGTCTGAAGAGGTTCGGCACAGTCGCTCGACTGTGGCCACGACGCGAGAGGGTGTCGTTAAGGGAGGTAAGTGGACGTCCGTGCAAGCTCCCGTTCTTGGCGACGAAGAACCCGCGATGGAAGCTCGGGTTCATGGCGATGAGAAAGGCGGTGAGGTGACTGTCGACATCCGGACGGATCCACAACGGAAAGATGGTGATTCTTCGCCCACCCGTTGCGGTGAAGAACAGGGTGGTCGAGCGTCTTTCCTGAGCACCGCTCGGGGAATGGTGCTTCATACAGCCATAGAGTCGGGTAACGACTCGGCAGCCACCGAGCTGGTTAGCGACTGAGGCGTGGCCGAGATGCAGAACGTCGAATCCTCCGTGGAAGGCGGTGAGGTGGCCGTCAGCATCAACATGGATCCAGAGCGGAAAGATCATGATTCTTCGTCCACCAGTTGCGGTGCCGAACAGGATGATCGAGAATCTGTCCTTAGTACCGGTCGGGAAATGGTGCTTCATGAACCCATCGACTTGCCAAGCGACTCAGCTGCCACCGAGCTGGTTAGCGACACAGCCGTGGCCGAGGTCCAGAAACTTGAATCGTCCGTGGACGTTGGCGCAGTGGCGCGACAAATGGGCGAGCTCCCTCAAAGGGCTTCCGAGCACGGTAAGATTTGTGAATAGGAGCACTCGCATATCTGTCACTGGTCAGCTCTGTGTTCGTCTGATTTGATGTCATGGGCTAATGTACCTGTTGCCACTAGTTAAAAAAAAGCTTGTGGGTTGTGGGTTGTTTTCTTTGTTCTACAGGTGTGAGGTCGTTAATGTCCCTGCCCATGAAGCCTTTAAAAGCCGTGCGCGAGAAACGTCTTTCAGGGAGGTCATTGGCCGCTTCACCGAAGAAGTCGTCAATTGTAGGGTTGTTTAAACGGGTCCAGATGCCTCGGCTTTCCCAGAGAGCTGTCAGGGTTCTGAAGGCTTGTGGAATAGATAAGGAGGAAGGTCTGCGAAAATATTTGGCTGTGTCTATTGAGAGCGTTACTGCTTTGTCTGACGTGTCTGATGACGATGGCAAACGGGGTGTCTTGAAAGACCCGTGTCTTAAGTACATCGCGAAGGACACATTCAACAAGCGGGGATACAACTTTTCTGGGAAAAGGGCAGTCAGTTCTTAGCCATTCCACCCCGGGGTTTGTGCTTTCTCCTCACACTTGTTCGTGGGTGTTTGTGCAGCTGGGGCTACATCATGTTTTCGCGTTCCGTTGCCTACTGAGGAGCTTAGCGCTACGGACTTGAGAATGTTGCAGAACGTCTGTGGAGATTACAGCAACGGCCACGAGGTGGTGTGCTCGGTTCGCAAAGGGGTCAGTTCAATTCCGTTGAGCAGAAAAAGTCTTCAAACTCTTGTTCAGGGGGAATGGCTTTCCGACGAGGTGGTGGAGTCGTACTTGGCCTTGCTTGTCAACGCTGCGTTGCCTGGGTGTCCCTCTCCTTACATTTTCAGTCCATTTTTCTATACCAAGCTCGTCCGTGGCGGCTATCGACATGATAGGGTTGCGAGATGGACAAAAGATGTGGATATTTTCTCGCACGAGATGGTCTTGATTCCTGTCCATAAACATGGAGTGCATTGGACCCTATTGTGTCTCCGAGAACAACGGCTGGAGTACTACGACTCCCTCGTACAAGACGATGGCGGTTTTTCTTCCGATGTGATTGTGAACTTCACGCAATACCTCCGTGACGAAGCAGTTTGTCATTATGGTCCAAAAACGAAAGTGGATCTCCAGGAGCCGAAGGTGGTTGTTCGTGGTGTCCCTCAACAATCGGACGGGTCGAGCTGCGGTGTTTTCATGCTCGCCTTCGCTTCATTTCTTGCACGCGGCTGTTCGCCACCATTTCCGATAACCCAAAGCGACATTCCAAACATCTGGCTGAGGATTGCGGTGGACATACTCCAAGGCGCTGAATGATACCACTGTTGTAAAAATAAGCATCGTTTTTTTTTCGAAATGCCATAAGCAGAAGTGCAAATTTATTCCCACTTCATCTACCAGTCGGCCGGTTCGAGCTGTGCTGTTGTTTTGATGAGGTATCGGATTGCAGTGGACGTTTTGGTCAAGTAAACGCTTAGGTGTCGATGTGAATATCCCAGCCTCGTGCTGTAGCAATTTTTGAAGGGTTCTTCATTTGGACGAACCTGTCATCTTTACTCGTACGCCTTTCGGCAGCGCCGTGCTGCCTTTGTTTGTTTTCGGGTTGTTCTCATTGGTTGCCGCGCAACATCAGCTAGAGGGTTGAAGCGGACACTTACGTGAAGTAGAAGCTTAAATGCCGATGTAAATATCCCAGCCACGTGGTGCAGTTCCTTTTAAGTAGACGCTTACATATCGGATGTGAATATCCCAACTTTGTGCTCCTTTTGTTTATTTTCGAGTTGTTCTCCTTATGTCCTCTCAGACCGCGGCAGGGCCGTGCTGCGTTTGTTCGTTTCGAGGTTGTGCTCCTCTTTTACTCATGTGAAAGATATCGACGATTTATTCTTGGTCGCCAAATTGTTTCGTGCTTATCTCTTTCGTTCGCGAGACTTTGTGGTGTGAAAGCCCCTCTCCCCCGCCCCACCCCGGCCACCCAGCTTTCATATATTTTGGCTCGTCCTTGTTCTGCGTGTGTCGCCCCGTTTTACAGTTCACCCCCTCTGCTTGTCTCGATTGAATGTTGTCTGTTGGTTCCTTATGATAGTTGCGAACTTATTCTCAATTCGGAAACCAATTGTCGCCAGAATGTATGTGTGCTTGACATTGTTTTACGGATTCAGAGGTGCACTGAGTGATCACCAATTTTGTTATCCCCGGAATACATCTCGTGCTCTCCACGGAATGCTGGTTGTTGTTTCCGTATGAGAAATGCAAACATGTTCGCACTTCGGATGCCGTACATTTGTGATTGAACTGTTGGTTCCATGTGTGAAATGAGAACATATTCGCACTTTGGCTCCATGTACTTTGTGATATTTGGAAAACCTCCGTGCACTTTGCGATGTGGGATTGTATGATATTTCGCGTTCAATGACTTTTTGAAACGTCTCTGTGTGCTTTGCAATTTGCCCTTGAATGAATTTCCTGCATTGAATGGTTTCTAATACCTGTTCGTGTGCTGTGACACTTCACCTTTGGAAAAACACTAGGCAACTTGAGATGTCTTCACCTCGATGTTTGCGATGTCTCTGTGTGCTTTGCAATTTGACTTGTGCTTGAAGTTGTTTAACGGATTCAACGGTGCACTAAATGATTGCCAATTTTGTTATCCCCGGAATACATCTCGTGCTCTCCACTGGATGCTGACTGTTGTTTCCATATGAGAAATGCGAACATATTCGCACTTTGGATGCCGTGCATTTGTGATTGAACTGTTGGTTCCATATGGGACATGAGAACATATTCGCACTTTGGCTCCATGTACTTTGTGATTTTTGGAAATCCTTCGTGCACTTTGCAATGTGGCCATTGTATGATGTTTTGCGTTCAATTTAGAAAGTCTCTGTGCTTTGCAATTTGCCCTTGAATGAATTTTCTACATAGAATGGTTTCTGGAAATTGATCGTCTGCTTTGAGACTTCACCTTTGGAAAAACAGTGCGCAACTTGAGATGTTTTCACCTCGATGTTTGCGATGTCTCTGTGTGCTTTGCAATTTGACTTCAGATGTTTTCATCTCAAAGTTTGCGATGACAAGAGATACTTGTATGAATGGATATGAATCTTCTACACAGAAAGATTTGATGGCGTTTTCAACCTGTGATATAGAAATGACAAGCCAATGTCCATATTAAATCGTCGCGCTGATGGACTGCGCAACTGCTTCTCCATCAAAGTGCGAGTTCAATCGCACTTCTGGTGTGAGCCCTGAGCGATTCCCTCGCACTTTGCTTCACGTCGAGGAGGGGATCGAACGCACCGCCTGTAAGCACCTGCACATCACGAAACAAGAGCACGTCCCAATTGGAACATCGTCGGGTCCTCACCTCATCGACTCTCAAGATGACTACAGCCAACAGTGGTAGGATGGCAGGTCCGCCTATCCGATGTGGATCTCACGGTGGACTGCGAAACTCTGCTCTCAAAAATCCACACCGGGTAGAAGGTCCTGCAAGCAGCCGCTGCTTGCTTGTAAGGCATCTTATGATGTGTCGATATAACCGACATCCAGAACTGCTTGGTGAGCATCTAGTGCTACGCCAATAAGTTCCAAACACGGCAGCAAAGTCCCCTAAGAGTGTTATTTGCCGGGTCCTCACCACATCGACTCTCAAGATGACTACAGCCAACAGCGGTAGGATGGCAGGTCCGCSTACCCGATGTGGATCTCACGGTGGAGTGCGAAACTCTGCTCTCAAAGATCCACACCGGGTAGAAGGTCCTTCAAGCAGCCGGTGCTTGCTTGTAAGGCATCTTATGATGTGTCGATATGACAGACATCCAGAACTGCATAGTGAGCATCTAGTGCTACACCAATATGTTCCAAACACGGCACCAAAGTCCCCTGACAGTGTTCTTTGCCGGGTCCTCACCTCGTCGACTCCCTCAAGATGACTACAGCTGACAGCGGTAGGATGGCAAGTCCGCCTATCCGATGTGGATCTCACGGTGGAGTGCGAAACTCTGCTCTCAAAGATCCACACCGGGTAGAAGGTCCTGCAAGCAGCCGCTGCTTGCTTGTTAGGCATCTTATGATTTGTCGATATAACCGACATCCGAAACTCCTTGCCGAGCATCTAGTGCTACGCCAACAAGTTCCAAAAACACGGCAGCAAAGTCCACCGAGAGTTTTCTTTGTCGGGTCCTCACCTCATCGACTCCCTCAAGATGACTACAGCTAACAGTGGTAGGATGGCAGGTCCACCTATCCGGCGTGGATCTCATGGTGGAGTGCGAAACTCTGCTCTCAAAGATCCATACCGGGTAGAAGGTCCTGCAAGCAGCCGCTGCTTGCTTGTAAGGCATCTTATGATGTGTCGATATAACCGACATCCAGAACTGTTTGGTGAGCATCTAATGCTACGCCAATATGTTCTGAACACGGCCGCAAGGTCCCCTAAGAATGCTTTTGGCACTGAAGTCCTCTGACCGCCAATTGTTTGGCACTTCGTGAAGGTTGACACTTCTTGAAGGTGGTCTACCACTTCTTAAAGGTGGACAGTCACCAAACAGATCACGACCCGACATCGACCTCGATAACTGCGAATTGACTCGTTGTTCAACTAGAGTCTCTCTCTCTCTCTCTCTCTCTCTCTCTCTCTCT